AGAAGACTAATGATAAGATTCACGTTAATCAGATCTTGTTTTAAATGTGTGCTGAAATAAATCCCGGAAAAGATCGATTCGCGGCTTTTGAGAATCGATATCGAATCGACGTCATTTAAAAAAACAATTAATCGAAAAATCGATTTTTTTGCCCAGCCCTAGTCTACAGATATATACAAGTTAAATTTAAGACTTTTTAATACCACCTTATGTGAAATTTAAGAACAAACTTATGATGGAAATACACATTATATTACATATATATTATATATATATATATATTTAATATGTTTAACGTAAAAATAAAACAAAATATCACTGTCAAAAATTTTATTTATTATTACGATATATAGTGAACTTTTCATATCAGCAAATAATATCCCATTCAAAATATCCCCACAAAAGCACCGCATCAATATTTTTAATCAGTCTTCTAACAGCTTTTACATTCTTAAACCTGCATGTTTTTAATATTTACCCCAGGATGTTATTTACCTTTATAGAGGCCAATATTTTTGAACCTTATTAAATGTATGCGTCATCTTTCCTGGCAAAATTGGAACTTTGATCAAAATTTGTAATTGATCAAGAAATTCAATATACACTACAGGGCTGTTACCAATCAAATTAAATAATTTACACTGCAAAATTACAACTGCAGTAAATAATGTTATGAGATTAATGTTTTAAATAAAACTGAATATACAACTAAGAAATGTTGGGGGAAAAGGCATACTTTTAAACACGAGACTAAACCGCCAGTAGGTGGCGGTAAATCACTTATCCCTTCAACAGATTCGTTCAAAACGCTGAATCATTCAGTAACAAAACAGCGAGTGTTGATCGGAGAATGTGCAATACTTCTGTTCTGAGCTTTGGAACTATTTTTTGTTGGTGAAATAGAACAAAACACTCGATTGTGCCTAAAATGTAAGTTTAACCACTTGTTTGTTGAACTAATGTCAATTTGCAAGTGTCAAAATATTCAGCAAAACAGCCCCCTTGTCATGGTATGTTACTTAACTACATCGTGTTGTCAATAAATGAAACATTTTTGAACTTTCACCTCAGTATGTTCTGTGAGTTTCTTTATGTGTGCCGTTACGCTCACTTGATTTGATTTCTCCACGAAAGTCTGTCACAGAGAGAGGCAGCACGAGCCTCAACAGCGCCACACTGATAGAAATACACTATCCATTATAATATCAATCGCTGTTTAAGCTGAATGTAATAAAATCAGAACAATCATTCTCGCGTTTCGATGCATCACTAGTTATTTATTGTCACTAAAGTTTTAATCAGGCTATTTGTCCTGTCGGGCAAGTAAAATTCTCGAGCCATTTTTCAGTAAACTTGCATTAACCTGTTTACAGTAGCTAGGAGGCTGTTGAGCGAGCTGCTGTTCCACCTGTACTCTGCTTCCGCTGGTGACGCGGTAACTACAGCGGGGGAGAAATCTTCAGTCTGTCCAGTGATTGTAAACTGGTTACAGCAAAAAATTGTCTCTGGGTCCGTCAGACTGGAGACATTTTTGCGGTAATGTGACCAAAAATATTTAAGACTCACTGAATCTGAATTTAAGAATTTTAAGGACTTTTTTTTTTTAGGAAAAAATTATTTAAGACATTTTAAGACTTAAGGACCCACGACCACCCTGAAAAAAGAAAGAAAAAAAAAAACACTAAACAAACAAAAAACAAATAAAACTAAACAAATAACAAAAACAAAGCGAAAAAAAAAAACCCAGAAATAAAAACAAAGGAAACAACAAAAAAACGCTAAAAACAAATGACAATAAAAAAAACAAAATGATAATAAAAACAAACAAAACAACAACAAAAAAACTAATGATAATAAAAACCAAAAACTACAAAAAACACTAAAAACAAATGACAATAAAAAAAACAACAACAACAAAAACTTTAAACTAATTGGCACTATCAAATATTAGCATCATAATATTTAGCCGTGTCTCATTTCGTGTTCAATCCTGTCACCACATGATTTCTCTTTTACGAAGTAACATTCCTTTAAAGGGGTCATATGATGCGATTTAATTTTTTCCTTTCTCTTTGGAGTGTTACAAGCTCTTGGTGCATAAGGAAGATCTGTAAAATTGTAAAGACTAAAGTCTCAAATCCAAAGAGATATTCTTTATAAAAGTTAAGTTTCGTTGTGAAAGCGAAGCTACTTTGTTTGGTCTTCCAAAAGAGGACGATATCCGCTTCGTTATGCCTAGAGCTGATCTGTGCTGGTCGCTGAGGGAATACATCAACTTAGTGCTGTGGATTGCCGGCACATTTTATGGAGGACTGTTTACTGATCCTGGGAGAGTTACGTTAGACTAAAATGCCGGCAGTTCTGACTCACGTAAGTACGTTTTCATTTAAAGGATTTGCCACTGATGATTCAAACGCGAGTTTTGGGCAGTGTGGATTAACGTTAGCACTTGTTGTTTGTCATTTCTCTGATCACAAATGCAGACAGGGTTTTATGTTTACGCGACGCAATGTAACGCAACGCGTAAAACGACAGTATAAGTCATTATAATCAGTAATTATGTCCCCACTGGATGCAACGAATGCCTCATTTATTATGGGTTTTCATGTTTTTGAATCATCGCTCCGGCCGGACAGGGCATCATCACAGTATGGTGAGGGGCGTAAGATTTCCGTCTCACGCTTGAGGTATTTGGCCAATCACAACGCACTGGATAGCTGGCTAATCAGAGCACACCTCGCTTTTCAGACCGATTAGTTTTGTAAAAATCGACGCGTTTCAGAAAGGCGGGGCATAGAGGAGAAACAATAATGTACAGTATGTGGAAAAAAATGTGTTTTTTTAACTTTAAACCGCATAAACACATTTCATTACACCAAATACACAAAATAATGTTCTTTTTAGCAGCATCATATGACCCCTTTAAATAGCGACACAAGAAGTAGCTCTACTGCATTCTTTCTGAAGCACAGGGGGAAAAAAGACAAATAAGAAAGCACTTGAAGAGTATCATTCAAAAGGTATATAAATGGGATTAAAAGTGGGATTCAAATTAAAAGTGTGGAATGAAACCTAAACTCTTGAGGTTTGTGACTCACTTCCAGTCTCTGGAGATGAAGTACTGCAGCTCTAGCAATCTGTGTTCACAGTCTTCAACCATCTTATCAGTGTACAGATGCTCCATCAGACAAGACAGGATCCTACACACACACACACACAAAAAATATATTATACACTTCACCTTCAGAGCTTCTACTCAAATATGAACTCACAGAAACAAGTTCAAATGTAAAGATCGATCAGCATACTGGAAAGTTTATGGCAGAACAGGTTTGGTCAGAGCTATTATTGCAGTGTCATATGCAGTGCCTCAAGCACATGCAAAACATCTCTAATATTTGTTCAATTTCAAGGAATGAAAAAAAAAACCCCATCATGTTTGAAATGAAAAGGATGAGTAAATGATGACTTAAAGCAAACTTATTCCTGGAGCATTTCATGTTTACCAGCAGAAATGCTTTCTAGCTGGAGCTCTGGGCCTAATATTTCACACACAAGAGCACTCACATGGGGTCTCCGTTTCGGATGTGTTTGCAGGCGGTCTGGATGACGGACTCGCAGGCCTCATTCAGAGCGCGATCAATGCGATAGTCGGCCCCGGGGTCTGTTTCCTGTATCAGTGTCTGGAGCTGATGGGACACAGACAGTTATGAAAGCCATAATCAGAGTCATTCATCACAGCCGCTGCATTATTTAACATGAATGAATATCTCACAACTTTATTCACGAGTTAAATCAATTCGACCTCAGTTCATTAATCACAGGAAGTACTGGAACACAATGAATGGACACAATTATATTGATATTTTTCAGCCTCTTGCTAATATTTATTATCTTCATATTTATGCATTTCTTTTTTTATTAGAATAATCAATATTTTGACTAAACAGCCAGAGAAAAGGGTATTCAAAAAGTTAAATTCTCTCTATCTATAAACTAAAATCAAAACAAAAATAAAACAAAAAGCAAACACACAAAAAAGCAAAACAAAAATATCAAAATACTAGGGCTGTGCGATATTGAAGAAAAATGCGATACCTTGTTAAAAAATACGATATTCGATACGATATTGCTTAAAGTGTGTAAAATCAATTTAAATTATATTTTAAAATATTTAAAAATGAAAATTATATAACCAATTTGTTTCACATTCTTTCTTGGAAAATAAAGAATCACTATAACTTCTGAAAGTGACCAGCAGTGTTTTAGCATTACTTTAAAAGTAATGTCACAAATCAGAAAATGAAATTTAACATCAATGTGAACATACAAACAAAAAAATGAATGACACTAATTTGATATCATTGTGACTTTGCTTTCCATACACTTTAAGTACTTCTTCATATACCACAGCAAAAACTATAGTCTGAGAAAGTTCAAACATGATTAAAGGCAAGTGAACAGTCAGTAAAAAAAAAAAAAAAAAAAGAAATACACAATTTACAAGCATAGATAAAATAAACAGTAGTATTCAGGTACAGAAATGTAATAATTAAGTGTAAAATAACACTGCATAGTGTTCACTGTAAAAATAACACTGCATTGTGTACAGTGTATGAATTCAATTTAGATTAATCTTTGTTATAGCCGTTTTGTTAACATTAGTGACATATTCAGCAGCAGGTATTTATAGGCTGCTGTCCCTTTAAATCCGACTGCACGGATCCAGTATATTGATACACATCCGATTTCTTTCTCAGCTGTTTACATTAATTTAAAACATAACCGACTGCGTTTACGAGAATGATCGTCGAGACGGGTACTATTGACATAATTCTGTGTGTATGTGTCTGTTCAAACATAAGGAGGAGATGCGAAAGACAAATTAACTCGGTCTGAAACGCGTCTCTCTGTGTGTGCGCGCGTGCTTTGCACGTGTGCGGCAGAACTGAAGAGACGCTGCGCGAGATGCGGCTTGTGCGCGAGCTTCAGGTGTGAGAGTCAGACAGCAAGACGAGACGGCAAAGAGTTGTTTTCTGCAAATTCAACGTCAAGCAATTCTCTGTCAACGTCAAGCAATTCTCTGCTATATGCGTCGAACTAAAACTTTGACCTTTTGCAACGTTTTGATTTAAGTAGCCTATTATTAAAATGATTCAGATATCGCACGCCCTTGCGATATGCATATTGCGATATTTACATTCGCGATATTTCGATAAATCGTGCAGCCCTATTTGGCGTGCTGTCCGGGGGTTTTTGATTTAAGTAGTCTATTATTAAAATGATAATGATATCGCACGCCGTTGCGATATGCATATTGCGATATTTACATTTGCGATATTTCGATAATTTCGATATATCGTGCAGCCCTACAAAATACGAATTAAAAAAAACAAAATCACAAAAACTAAAAGCAAACACAAAAAAACAGCACAAAAACTAAAAACTAAAACTAAAATACTAAATAGATAGATAGAGCGATAGATAGATAGATGATAGAGATAGATAGACAGATAGAGAGAGAGATGATAGCGATAGATAGAGCGATAGAGAGATAGAGAGATAGATAGATAGATAGAGCGATAGATAGAGATAGAGCGATAGACAGAGATAGATAGATAGATAGATAGACAGATAGAGATAGATAGATAGATAGAGAGATAGATAGAGCGATAGAGATAGAGCGATAGACAGAGATAGATAGATAGATAGATAGATAGACAGATAGATAGAGATAGATAGATATAGATAGAGCGATAGATAGAGATAGATAGATAGATGATAGATAGATAGAGAGAGAGATGATAGCGATAGATAGATAGATAGTGATAGATAGATAGAGCGATAGATAGATAGAGCGATAGATAGATAGATGATAGAGATAGATAGATAGAGAGAAAGATGATAGCGATAGATAGAGAGATAGATAGATAGAGTAATAGATAGATAGATAGATAGAGCGTTAGATAGAGCGATAGATAGAGAGATAGATAGATAGAGATAGATAGATAGAGATAGATAGAGCGATAGAGAGATAGATAGATAGAGAGATAGATAGAGCGATAGATAGAGCGATAGGTAGAGCGATAGATAGAGAGATAGATAGATAGATAGAGCGATAGATA